TGTAAAAAGCACCTTGACTTCCCAGCAGGAAGTTTGCAAAACTGGTCACAAACTCCTGGTTCAACCCTTTAAAAGCCTCATCCGAGAACACAAAGCCAAGGAAATTTTAATCTCCTCTTTCTTTTGTTTCTTTCTAGTTCAAGTAAAATTGCTCGATTGACGTGCATCCATAAACCAAATAGAACTTACCTTGCCTTCTCTCTCAGCGGTCTTCCCAGTTTTCTGGCGGGTAAGCACTGTTGAGGAACCACCCAATGCTGGACGTTCCAGGTCCTGCTGCCTTACCTTAGTAATGGCTGTGCATACACTGGGTTATATTTGCTTGAGTTTGCATCCTAACCGCATTTTCCTAGTCCTGGCCAATCACAGCCAACCTAGCCCTGGGCTTGACTTATTCAAACCACAGAGAAAGCTGTATCTGTTCCTATTCAAAACAGCAAAAACAAGAGCAGACTTTTAAGGGCTTCTTTTAACTCCAGCTCCACGCCCTGATCTAATTGATTTTTTAAAAGTGCACAGCCCATCAATAATGCAGGAAAGAGGGTGGGAGGATATGAAATTTGCCATATTGTAGATATGAATGCATTACACTGATGACAGGAAGAAGGGGCCGGGGCTGGCCCCCGCCCTCCGAGTGCCTGGGATGTCCAGGCTGGCAAGCGCCTCCTGAGAAGCTCCTGGGCACTTCTCAGAGGGGAAGTCTGGGAGAAGGGCCTGGAGTGAGTTATTAGGTCATTGTTTTGTCCCTTGGGGTCTCCCTTGGGGTCATAGATCAGTCCAGTCAGTATCTGAGTGCCTACTATGTGCCAAGAACCACGCCGGGCTCTGAGTTTCAAGGCTGCTAGTTTGGAGAAATCAGTAAGGGGCACAGAAGGAAGACTCTAAATCCCTTGTGGCTTCTGGTTCCTCCCCAGAAGTCAACAGGACACCAAGCATATGCTTATTAAGCACCTGGATGGCAATGCGGTTGATTCCACATGGGGGCCAGGGAAGAGCTAATGTAGCCCGACTTCTGTAACCTTGAGCAAAATCCCTGTGCTGAGTGCGCGGCTGGTCCCCCAGCTTGGGCGCTCCAGCCTCGTCATGACAGAGGCGTTTCAAGGGAAGAAGGGGGGCGTAAGTGCCCGAATGAACAACAGAAGGGTCAGGAGGCAGTGCCCATTCACGGATGGGTTTTTTAAACCCACTTTTATTCATTAATTGTAAGTAGTACAAATATTCCAAAAATATAAACAGACACTTAATGGCGTCCTACATTTCAAGTTTTTGAATACAAGTTTATCAAACCATGAACCTGTGAGCAAGGTAGTCAGAACCCCACAGCCCAGTCACGTTGGGGAGCAGATCTGCCCCACCCTCCAAACGGTATCTTGAAGGGGGTTACGTGGCACAACATGGAACACGTAAAATCTGAGATACTACAAGCAAAGAAGCTCACGGGGCGCAAAGAGGAGGGTCTGCTCCAGGGGCAAGCCCCACAGCAGTAAAGGAATGGTGCAGGGGGCCAGTCCCCTGCCTTCCCTCCCCTGCTTGAATGCAAGTATTTACCAGTATTAAAATAAAAGGACAAAACTAAAACCCCATTTTACAAAAAAGGCGACTGAGGGACAGTAGTGGCAAGTAACCGACTGAAGACCTGAAGGGGAAAACAGGCTTACTTTCCGCAGACACTTGAGCTGTCTGGGACCTGGGACACAGGACAGCCTTACGGGGGGTTGCCTTATTGAATGAGGCCTCATGAACAGGGTAGGGGTAGCAAAACAGAACGAAATCCATTTCCCAGGGAATGACTGCCTTTAGACTTCCTGTGCTTTTAGCACAGAGAAGTTTCTGGGCCACTGTTAACAGAGGTGAATTTATAAAATGGTCAAAATCTTTGGGAGGCAGGAGGGAATTAAACAGAAGGTCCCAGGTTAACTGAAGAAAAATTTACTCAACCTCGCAATAGTAAGGGACCCATGGACCTACAGAGTGTCCCCTCTACAATGTGCAGAGTGGAAACTCTTACCTGACCCTTTCCAAACCGGTCCTGTGTCCAAAGCTCCCCCTATGAGAGGGACACGAACATCAGGCTTTTGATTTAGAAGCCCAATCAGAGAGACACACTGTGTCCCTGAAGAGGCACCTTAAAGAACTGAACCTGGCAGGTGGGCAGATTCCTGGCACAGCGTGAACTGGGGTCGACCAGGCCTGGTGGCCTATTGCTTCCCGAAGACCAGCCTCAAACAGGAAGGGCTGGTAGGAAACCCCGGAAGAGATCCTGGGGTGAACTGGCTCCCTCTCAATCTTGCCTTCCTCCAAAACTGAGTCTGGCCTGATTCCTCTAAGGAGCATGTCTTGCAGTCAGTCATCTCTTGCCCCTAACACACTGTGAAACTGGAGACCAGAAGGTGCATAATGACTTCAGGCTGGCTCTGGTCCACACCGATGGACCCTGCTTAGACCTATTTGGCTGAGCTGCCTCTCCAGGGAAGGGAGGAGAGGGTGAGTGGGGGTGTGGCATTTCTGGTGAGGAACTGCATGGGGACAGGGCAGGGTTTTGGCAAGAACGAGGCCTATGGAGCCAGGCTTCATGCAGAAGCAGTGGGGACACTCCCACCAAGCCATCCTGGGCTCTGGTCATCAGTCCCTTGGAACACTTGGACAAGTCTGATAGGAAAGCGGGTGGCACCAGCTCTTCCTTCACCTGGAGGCAAGGAGACCCAAAGCAGGGCAGAAAGGGGCCTCAGAACTGGATCAGCTTAGAGCCTCTTATTGCTTATTCAGTCAGAAAAGCATAGCTGGACCCCATGGCAGATTTGGCCCAAGGGCTAACCCTTAGGATGGGGCTTGGGAGAGAGGCCCCTCCTGCAATATTAGGATAGAGGCCTAGGCCAGAGCCTTAGAATCAGAAGCTCCCATTTTCCTTCAGGAGGTGTCGCTCCTGGCCAGCCCTGGGGCCCTCTTCCCCTACCTGCATGAAGCAGGATCCCACAGGCACCAGGGAATGATGCCTGGGAAATGATCACATGGTCTTTGGGGACCCTGTTCTACTCATGTGACACCAAAGGGAAAGGCAAAGCCTCACAACCTTGGGACAAGGAGGGGAGGTGGCATCACAATGCTAGAGAAGGATGCTAGGTGGTCAGAACACCAAGCTGCTGCTCCACTACCTGGTCCCGGCCAGCTCCTCACACTGCCCTAGTGTGTGGCCAGTCTGAAAAGGATAATGGGGGTGAGTCCTGAGTGGGCGGTGTTCTTGCACCTGAAGCAACTTACAAATGCTTTGTGACATCTGCCTCCAGGGAAAACAGAGAGGGGGATAGGAACCCCCTCCCGCCCGAGGGAGGGAGGGGAGGCCATGGCTAAGGCAGTGATGCTGAAGTGGGGCTCCCTCTGGGGGATCCCTTGTGCTCCCAATTACAGCAGCACTTCCCCTTTTGTTTTCCATTCTGGGGAAACTTCCTTTGTGTGACTTATTTTTTAAAGCATTCACTATTAAGAAACTTTGAAAGCAAAGAGACACGCAAAGCACAGGTGTGTGAAGAGCTCACTCACACCTGTTACCATTGGCAGGAGGCACGTGCGTTACGTTGGCAAACTAAACGGTGAGAACACCCAGCCCCTCAGCCCAGGAAACGCAGGAGTGCCTGAGACCCTGGCGAGAAAAAGCAACAGCCAGGAAGGACGAAGACACCTGGCCCTGGGGGAAGACACGAGAGAAAAGAGCCCTGCCCAAGAAACAGGTGGGTGGGACCCAGAGCGTCCTTCCCAGACTTGGGGACAAAGTCCCTGCGGCAGCACCAGCAGAGAATGCCTGAAGAGCAGACTTTGCGACACATCCCGAGCCCAGCTGACCTACAAGCCAACAGGACACACACACTCATGCCCTTGGGATTTTCCTCTTCCCTGCACCGCCAGGGCCTCCCACGTTCACCTCAGGCCCAGGACTGCAGCTCTGTCAGAAACAAAACAGCCCAACAACACTCCGTATTTCGAAAGAGAATTTTAAAACAGAGTCAAAAGAACGGAAATCAGTTATCTGTCCTCTTCCAGGGCAGGGAGAAGACCTCCTTCCCCACAGGTTCAAGACTATGGCTAGGCAGTGAGGAAGGCAGGCCCGGCACCCAAGCCTGGGGAGACACAAGGGCCCGAGCCAGGCACTCAGCCAGAGGCTAGCGCAGCCCTTGGGCCACAGGGCCTGATGGCCACTGGGGCTACGAGTTCTGGATACAAGCTTTCATCTCCCCAGAAATGTCGTCTGCAGCAGTTGGCTGGAGAAAGGCTTCAGGAAGATGTGTGCCTGGGGCACCCGAAGGCAGCCTCTGACCCTACCTTTCTCCGTGGCATAAGCCTTACAACACTGAGGAAAGGCCATAGGTTTGGCGACGGAGCCTTCAATGGTCTTCATTCCTATAGAGCTCGGTGGCTCTCGGTGACAGGAGAGGAGACAAACTAACTTGGGGAGAGTCCTGATCATTCACTTTCTCCCCCAACCTGAAACACTTATATCCCGGGACCACAGTTCAAGGCAAGACACACTCATACACACACACACACACAAATACACACACTTACTCACATCTTGGGAACCCAACTCAGGGAGCAGGCAGCTCTGGGTATCGCTGGTCTGATATCTGCCCACTCAGCATCTAACCTGTCCTAAAGCTCTTTCCAATCACTTCTATTTCCAGGTCTCATTTGGTGAGATGCTCCAGATTCCGCTCTGTCAGGCTGATCATAAAGGCACAGTGTAGGAAAGTCCCCTACTGGGATGGCCATTGCTTGGCAGCAGGGAAGGCTAAGGGGCCCGCAGCTGCCCAAGGCTGGTGTAGACATCCTCTGCTGCGCTCAGCTCCTCAAAGATTGGGATCAGGTTCAGCAACTCAGTGTCTGCCATGTCATCAAACCAAGACTGCACAGGCACCTGGAGAGGGAAAAGGCAGCGTAAGTCTCCCGACCGCCACTGCTTCCCTCCCTTGCCCCAGGCCCCCGGAGGCTGGCTGGTCCACCTGGAGTGGTGCCCTCCTCTGGTAAAGCCCATGGTTCCACCACCGTCCCCTTCTCCCTCCTCCTTCCAGGGCAGGGACTCTCCCAATCCCTGCAATGTGGGTGTATCTGGACCACTCACTGCATTCTCTGGGTGGAAGATGTAAGAAGCAGGCGAGTTGTCCAGAATGAGGGTTTTCCTCAGGTCCCTTCCCAGGCGGCTGAGGTCCTTGACATAGCAGCCCTGGTGAAACACACAGGACTCACGGAACAGGCGGGCCCGGAATACCCCACACCTGTCTAGCAGATCCGTCACAGGGTCAGCATACTGAGAAAAGAGAAGATGCTTTTTGTTTGGATGCAGTCCTGGTTTCCCCGTGGTATCCTGTGGACCTGCAAGGAGCTGCCACACCTGCTCCCGGTTCTTTACTCCCCTCCTGCCCCCAGGTACCTTGGCTAGGCTGGCAGTGAAGAGAACACATTCAAAGAGTTCCCCCATTCGTCTCAGGAACTCATCCACGTAAGGCCTCTTGAGCACGTACACCTGAGGAAAAGCAGAAAGGCTTGTTGGAGGCATCCCTATGAGGGTGAAGCATTATGGCATCGGTCACCGTCACCACCTACACAAAGAGCAGTAAGTAGGTTCAGACCTTACTCTGTCTGGACTCCCACACCCCAGCCTCTGGGACCACCTGGCTGGAAGCCTTCTGCCCCACAGACCAGGGCACGAGCGTCACCTCCTCACCAGGCTTCTGCCGGCTCAGTGGTCCCAACCTTGACCCAGCTCAGGAAGAAACAAAAACACCTAATGTCCCAGGAGCCATCTGTTTCCGGCGGCGAACCATCAGCTGCCTCCAGAAACAAGTAATCAAGAATAGGCCTCACAGATGGAAACAGCCTATCCTGGATTACTTGAATCCAGCCACAGCCTCTGTGGGAGTTTCCTGTCCTTGGCTCTGACAGGACAGTTAGTCCAGGACCCCACTGGGCAGGGTCGCAGATACTTCCTGAAACCTCGTGCCCTGAGCTTCTCTGAAACGCACCAGGGGAAAGTGACTTTTTCCCCTCAGTGACCGCAGATCTGACACCCTGCAGCATCTTGCTCTAGTGATGCCCCCATTTTGTGCTTGCCCCTGACAGCCACCCCTAACCCTGGTGTCCACCTTTCATAACCTTGCACATTATGGCCTAAAAGCTTCACTGGCTGCATGTCCCTCATGGGCCTGCTGTCTGTTGCTTCCCTGTCTCCATCCAGGTGTTCTCCTCTCATCCAGCCTACACAGGTGCTACTGGAGCCACTCCTTCAGAGTCCTTTTCATCCAGCTCATTCCCTGCTCAAGAGTATGTGCCTGCCATGACTCTCCCTCCTGGAGACGGCCTGGACTGGCCATTGACTCACCAGACCCCTCCCAGCTCTGCAGCAGGAACCCTCTGCTCCAGGTAGCCACAACCGGGCCTCCTTTCATTTACCATTTCTTTTTTTTTTTGCGGTACGCGGGCCTCTCACTGTTGTGGCCTCTCCCATTGCAGAGCACAGGCTCCGGACGCGCAGGCTCAGCGGCCATGGCTCACGGGCCCAGCCGCTCCGCTGCACGTGGGACCCCCCCCCGGACCGGGGCACGAACCCATGTCCCCTGCATCGGCAGGCGGACTCTCAACCACTGCGCCACCAGGGAAGCCCTCATTTACCATTTCTTTAACCTTCAACAAGTCCCTCCCTCCTCCTGGCTATTCATCAAGCTTGGCATCCTCTCAACACTCTGCTGAAAACGCAGCTTCTGCAGGTAGACACCTCACCCCCACCCCCCGCTCATGTAAATGTCATCCCTCTTCCATTATTCACTCCTCTCCTTGTTAGCCAGGAGTTCACAGTGTTTGAAGATACGCCTTTTTAAAAAATCTGTGGGTTCTGTATATTTCTCTATACCCTCAACTAGACTGTAAAGAGCTGCTGTGCAGAGTCCAGCACTGGGACTGGGAGGATGGTGGGGTGAAGAAAGCTTCTAATGGACACAGGTTAGTGCTGACCACCCATGGAAGCCTCAAACCCCATTTCCCTACAAATAACTCTTCTATCTGACTATCAACACCACAGGATCCTTAACCCTGGACTGAGCAGGTTGTGTAGGGCCAGAGCTTCACCTTATTTAGATTCAAGCGCTTTTTGATAGATGTGTACTGAGTATGTACTGTGGCAGAATCCAGTGTAGGGACCCCAAGGGGAGGGGAATTGGAGAAAGCTTTACAGAGGAGGAGATGCCTTTTCTGGGGAGAAAGAAATTCACCAGCTAGATGGAATGGGTGGGCAGGGGAGGAGAGAAAACAGCTAGTACTGACTGCTTTGTCTGTAACAGGCAGATACACCAACTCTTCAGCTTTAGAGAAAATGTATTAAGTCATATAACAGTGCCGGTCACATTCAGTAGGGGCAGGGGAGATAAGTAAATGATAGCTATCACTACTATTAAATAATTTAATTTTAAACAGCTTGGCTGCAAAGAGAAAAAAGGTGACAGGTAAAGGGGGATGAGGGGCTGCATTTTTTAAGATGCGAAAGCCTCGAATGTGAAAGGTTACCAATAAAAGCAGAGAGGCTGAGGTTACAGGAAAGGATCAACTGATGGAACACAAGCCCCGAGGAGCAGAAGACCCCGAGTTCCTCGGCTGGGCGTGGCCTGGCAGCAGCTCACCTGGTGAGTGGTCCCTTCGATCTCTACAGGCACTATGAAGTCAGCGTTGTTGATTGGCTGGAAGGCAGAGGAGTTAATGAGTCAGCTCCTGGGAAGGGACAAGAGCCCAGCCACACCCCAGTCCCTGCCACAGCCAGTGCTCCGCCCCCTGGGTGGGGTGGGGAGGGACAGATATCAGAGGCCCTAGGAAGCTCCTGCTGTCCCAACTAAGTGGCTCTCACCCAAGTACAGGCTGCGACACCCCTTCTGGTTTTCCCTACTTACCACCACCTGCAAATTCTACCTGAGCTCAGACAGTCTCTGGGCCTTCTTGAGTTAACAAACATCCTGATAAAATGGATAGGGGCATGGCCCAAGGCTGACTTAACCCCTCTTTTGTACCCCTGTACAGAGCCCTGGTGGCTGTGCTGCGACGGGGGCGGGGGGGGGGGCAGCTGTAGCCTGTTGTCAGCGACTGCGGCGAGCAGGGGCTCCCACTCAACATCATTCTCTGGTGGGGCCTCCAGGTATCTGTGATGCGACAGTGGCCAAATGCCAGAGGCCGGCCCTGCTACTTCTGATCACTCTTCCATCATCAACTTTAGGCCACTTCACTGGCACCTGCAGTCAGGCTTCCAAGACAGCCCAGGATGAGTGTAAGAAGAGCTCCAGATGTCCAGTTACCTTAAAGGAGCTATGCACAAGGGTTTCATCCAAGTCAATGACCACGCAGATTCTTCCTTGATCTTCCTCTGTCACCTCCGGGAGCAGACAGGTCCCTGGAATCTAAAACCAGAGCCAGGCTACTGAATCTGCCACCAAGAAAGACTAATTTTCCCCAGTAGAACTCTGGGAAGAGCTGGGCCCACTGAGGAGATGGAAGCCCCCTACTTCAACCCAAGAGAGGCGACACTTAAAGGCCAAGAGGTAGAGAAAGAAGAGACTGAGCTGGCCCCTTCCTTCAGCCTGGGACTGTGAAGTGATCCGGATACTGGAGATGGAGGCCAGAGCTGGTGATGGATACCGGCTGTCCCCCGCACAATCTAATGCCTTGCACATGGTGGGCCCTCAGCAAGTATCTGGGACAAACAGCTTCCGAGGGCAGGGAGTTAGCCAGCCAGACACAGAGGAATGAGGGCATCACCACGTGGGGCATGGGGTTAGCAGGTATCACTGGGTGTTGGGGCTTCTGAGGACATACCCTGTGAGATTCACATACCTGATAAAACTGGTACTGGAGACACTGGAGCAGATCCGACTATGGGAGAAAAGAAGGTGGTCAGTGCCAGCCCACTAATGCCTTTCCTGGTTGTCTAAAGCCCACTCAGGCCTGGAGGGGAATTTTCTCCCCAAGACCCCAGCCCCCTGGAAAGCTCTGACACGACAAAAGTGACTTTCCTTAAGAGCTGGGCAGGAAAGGGGCCAAAATCTTTCCACACTCGGCCTGATGAAGGATGGAGAAGGGAATGTCCCTGTTCTCAGCTGCCATTGCCTCTCCAAGGAACAGGGGACTCAAGCAGCTGACGCAGGGACACAGAGTCAGAGGCAGAATCAAAATCGGAACTCCTCACTGTGGAGGTTTGGCCTCTTGCTTAATCCTGAAACCCAGGCTTCTCTTTGAAAACATGAGTTTTCTCCATCCTCCTTGGGGGCCTAGATTAGGGGGAGGTGCACTGAGCCCCTACAAAACACAAGTAAGCCAATGTGAGCCCACACTGTGGGTCCTGAAATGTGAGGGGAGGTAGAGTGCAGAGAGCTCAGAAAGCCTCTTCCCGCCTTTGGCTAATAAGTAAAATGTAATGATGTAACAAGTAAGTGATCTTAATGGAAACCCTGAAGAAAAATTAAAATCCTAGCACTTAGAAAAACTTAATGTTGGCATTTTAGTGCATTTCCTTCAAGCTTGCTTTGGCAAGCAGTCTTTTTTCTTCATGACATATAATTTTGCATTCTGCTTTTTTTTTTTTTTTTTTTTG